CAGCTGGGCTGCACCTTTACCAATAGCCTCTTTTGGGGTCTCTTCAGGGTCTTAGACCCTGCTTTATGTTGACAATTCTCAACTTCTTTCCATGACCCCTTTACTCCTAGGGCTTCTACTTCATCTGAGGGTGCATTTTCACCAATGAATGGACTTTCCTAGCTCTCATGGCACCAAGCCTCTGTTGCTCCCCATGACCTCTTTATGCTTTCAAAGCCAGTACCATCTAGGAAACTCTTACATAACCAAGTTTGGCTTCCAGCACACAGTACATCCTTGGACCCCTCTAAACCAGAGCTGACCCTGAGGAAACATTTCCTAGGAAATTTCCTCTCAATGGTGCTGATACCTTCTTTATTACAGCTTATTCTTCAGCCCTGGTTGATCAACATCAATTGTCCCAGCAAAGAAGTTTCACTTTAGTAGTTCTAATCCAAAATATCAACAGACCAGATACAGTCCTTAGGGCACTTGCCAAATTTCCCTCTCAAACTTCACAAGCAAGACCTCTGTTGTCTTCATTATCTTCTAAGTTCCCACAGGTTTTCATTAAGCTCTCAATGAATTTCCCAGCCTAAAGTTCATAGATCACCATACCCCTCCTCAAAACATTAGTTGGGTAGCTTTGGAGCCTGTCCTGGAACTAGCTCTTGTAGACCAGGCTGGTCTTGAACTCACAGAGATCCACCTGCCTCTGCCTCCTGAGTGCTGGGGCTAAAGGCGTGCACCACCAACACTTGGCTTAGCTCCATGGCTAGCAGTAACTTGGGAAGGAAAAGGTTTATTTCACTTATACTTCCACATTACGGTTCACCGTCAAAGGAAGTTTGCAGAGACTCGGTGCAGGAACCCGGGCGGCGGGAGCCTGAAGCACAGGGTGTGGAGGATGCTGCCTACTGGCTTGCTCACAGGCCAGTCTGGTGGGGTCATTTTCTCCATTGAGATTCCTTCTTCCCAAAAGGCTCCAGTTTACATAACGTTTACATAAAACTAACCAACACAGGCATGCTTTTCCTTCTCTTCAGAACAGAGTACTCTTTTAGTATCTTCTGTAGGGCAGGCTTGATGGCCACATATTACTTTAGCCTGCTTTTATCATGGAAAGGTTTTTGCCACGGACTACCCCAGCCAGGTATAGAAGTCCCTGGGATTAGGGTTCTCGAAGACTAGGTGGGTAAGGATTCGGCAGTGACAAACAGAAACAAATACAGAGGCAGTTTGAATCTGAGTGTATTTTGCAGCTCTAAAGCAAGGCTTTTAATCCAGGATAAAACAAATAGTCTCTCAGGGATTGTGTTCAGTGAAAAAGATCCTGATAGAACAAATGACATCATGGTTACTAGGCCCAATAACACACAACTCATCCAAGGTTAACTAAAACAATAAATCAGAAAACCATTCAAGGCTAACCACAGGTAACCGCCTATTTCTAAGATCTGGTTAATAAATTTTTATCGTCAGTAATTGTTTGACATTTGTTGCCTAGCTCTTGTGAGTCTTTTAACAAAGCTATTTTGACTCTTTCTTATTAAAAAGCTTTCTTTACCAAACATTAAACCCACTCTTGATTACACATGTACAGTCAGATAAGATTTTATTGTTGGGAAAGTTTTTATCAATACTGTTTGTACTTATGTGAATGACATGAATGATTTGAAAAGCTCTGGCTTTCCTGGAGATGAAGTCACGGTCAGTGATCATGTCTCAGAGGACGGTTTCTCATTTATTTCTTTTGTTTAAAATGTCAGCGTAGGCTTTCAGGAATATCTCATTAATATTAGAAAGGAGTTATTATAAGAACAGAGATTTCCATGAGGACTATGGCTCAATATTTTCCTCTAGTCAAGAATTTTCACAACCGTTTCCAGAAGACCTCCTTCTTTTGAAGTTATTGCCTCAGTCTGTGGAACTTGTCACACAGAATCTACTAGATTTGGTGGGTGTGATAGGTTTTCTTTCTCTCTCTCTCTTTTTTTTATTACGAGACAGGGTTTCTCTGTATTGTTTTGGAGGATGTTGGTCCAGCCCAGCCTGGAACTCACAGAGATCCTCCTGCCTCTGCCTCCCAAGTGCTGGGATTAAAGGCGTGCACCACCACTGCCCGGCGGTTTTCTTTCTCTTTACACTATGAAAGAAAGTTTTGCTGGGCAAGCCCAGAGATTGGTTGGTCTTCTTGCTCAGGAATTGGTTGGTTTTCATGCATGGCTCTGGTTTCAGGGTCAGGTTGTGTTTCTTTGGCTTTGAATTCAGGGCCAAAGTGTGTTTGTTTCACTGGCTTCAGTTTTAGGGCCAGAGTGTGTGGTTTTTGTTGGCCCTTTACCCTACAAACCTAGGTTCCAATTGCCAGATGAGTGGATAAAGAAAATGTGGGGGCTGGAGAGATGGTTCAGTGGTTAAGAGCAGGTGCTGCTTTTCCAGAGGATCTAGGCTTAGTTCCCGGCACCCGCATGGTCATTTACAACCATCCCCAACTCCAGTTCCAGGGGATCTGATACCCCCTTCTGGTCTTCGTAGACACTGGGAATGCACGAAGTGCACATAAATACATTCAGGCAAAGCACCCACACATAAATTAAATCTAGAAAAAAGAAAATGTGGTGTGTATGTTAGCGTTTCGGGATGGGTCAGGACAGGATGGAACAGGATTGGGTCAGGTATTCTGGCACTCGGGAGTCACAGAATACTGAGTGTTACACAGCTCAGGTGGAAAAGTATCCTGGAGCTCGGGAGCCAAGGATACTGAGTGTTACACAGCTCAGGTGGAAAGGTATCCTGGAGCTCGGGAGCCAAGGACCACCACAGGTTGCAGTAAACTTGGCAGTTTACAGCCTTGCCTCAGAGAAAGGCTTCTCCGGTGTATCAGCTCCGCTCGGGCAGGACAGGGTCTTCCAGCTGGGGATGTTCGCCTAGTGTAGCAGTTTTGCCAGGCAGGAGGTTTCTCAGGCGAAGTTGCTACAGTTCAGCTCTGCTCCTGGAGAGCAGAGAACCGGGAGGAGAGCGTAACAACTCCGCTCTGCCAAGGAAGGTTTCCCGGGCAAGTGTTACAGCGCTGCTCGCTCTGCTCTGCTCTGCCCAGGGTCGCCTCTGCTTGCTCTGCTCTGCTCTGCCCAGGTCGCCTCTGCTCTGTCGCCGCAGCAAAAGAAGATCTTCACCCAAAGCTCATCCAAAGGGGTTTATTGGAAAGCAGCTGGAGCAGCCAAGCTGAACATACACAGGGTTTATATAGGGATTCTTGGGGTTGGGGAAGTTTTTCCAGGGTAGGGATTGGTCCGATTTCAGTGCTGAGCTCAGATTGGCTAGAGCTCTGCTCCAGGATTGGTTACTTTTTTACACAGGATTAGGGTCAGATTTGGCTCTGGTTTCAGGGCCAAAGTGTGTTTCTTTCTCTGGTCCTTTTTAGCCTTTTGGCTCCAATTTTAGGGCCAGGATGCATTTCTTTCACTGACTCTGATTCCAGGGATAAAGTGTGTTCCTTTGGCACTGGTTTTAGGGTCAGGGTACATTTCTTTGGTTCTGGTTGCAGGGCCAAAATGTGTTTCTTTGGCTCTGCTCAGGTTGTGTTTCTTTGACTGGTCCCTTTTCCCTACAGTGTATATACACAATGAATATTTAGTCAGCTGTGAAGAAAATAAAATTACATCACTTGCAGGAAACCTATCACAGTGATTTTATTGTTTTAGTTGTCACAAAGGAATTCATCTAAGAGTTTGCACTGCATTTCGTAGAAGTCTTTAGAATTGAACTTTGGAGAAAGGAGGGGACAGTTAAGAGCTGTGGGGAATCTGTAGTAGACCAAATACATTTAGCCTTGTGAGATGAACATCGTCTTAGGGTTTCTATTGCTGTGATGAAACACCACGACCAAAAAGCAGGTTGGGGAAGAAAGTGTTTATTTGACCCACTATTCCAGATCACAGTCCATCATTGGAGGAAGTCAGAACAGGAACTCAAACAGGGCAGGATCCTGGAGGCAGGAGCTGATGCAGAAGCCATGGAGGAGAGCTGCTTACTGACTTGCTTCTACTTGCTCAGCCTGCTTTCATATTGAACCCAGGACCACTGGCCCAGGGATGGCAGCACCCACCATTGGTTGGGCCCTCCCCTATTGAACACTAATTGAGAAAATGCCTTACAGTTGGATCTCATGGAGGCATTTCCTCAACTGAGGCTCCTTCCTCTCTGACACCTCTAGCTTGTATTGAGTTGACACACAAAACCAGCCAGTACAAACATGGACTGGCCACTAAGGGACAGACTTACATGTTGGGTCCTGGGTGTCCTGAGCAGGTGACACCATTGGGAGGTGGTAGAAACAGAGGGTGATGCCTTGAGTAAATTGTGTCACTGATGTTATATTACTGGGAACATGTAACTTCTGTTTTTTATTTTATTGCAATCATGAAGTTAGCAACTTAGTTACATATACCACAGGCTGTCTGCTCTGCTTCACCAAAGGACAAGGCAAAAAGGCAAAGCAGCCACAGCTGGAATCTTATGAAACTCAGGCAAAATGCATGTTTCTCACTCTGAGTTTTTTACATTATTATAAATTTTTCAATGCTGCAACACTTAGCAGGTGTCTATACTATTATTGTTAATCTACATAAACTTAAAATATATTTCAAGTAATTCTCAAGTCTGGTATTATCAATTATTCTTATTCCACCCCCCCCCATGAACTCTGAAAGAAACCATGCTTGTAGCCTAGTCTACCTTCCTGTTACAGTCTCCCAAAGTCTTATTATTTGAAAATGTTAGGGTTTACTACTGCCCTGAAGAGACACCATGACCACGGCAACTCTTAAAAAGGAAGCATTTAATTGTGGTGGCTTGCACATAGTTCAGAGGTTCAGTCCATCATGGCGGAAGCATGGCATTATGCAGGCAGACATGGTGCTGGAGATGAGAGTGCTTTCATCTTGACTCAGAGGCAACAGGAAGCTGGCTGACTGTCACACTCACTGAAGCTGGAGAAAAAGACCTCAAAGTTCACCCCCACAGTGACATACTTCCAATAGAAGTTGTGACCCAAAATGAAGGTATCCTCCAGCCTCAAGATATGGGTTAAAGATATGTGTCATCCAGCGCCCTCCAACAAGACCACACTTCCTCCAACAAGGCCACACCTCCTAATAGTGCCATTTCCTGAGCTTATGGGGGCCAAGCTACTACAGTATTATTTCAAAAGAAATGATAATTTTCAGGAGGCTCCTTCATGGAGGCAGTGGATTAATAATAATTATTTGAATAATTAATAATAACTTAATTATTTGAAGAGTGTTTTGTTTATGGACTTACCTCACTTCTTATCTCTTTTCTGCTTCTCTTCCTCTCCTCTCCCCTTCTCTGTCTCTCTGTCTCTCTGACTCTGACTCTCTCTGTATTTCTCTGTCTCCCGGTTCCTGTCTGTCTCTCTCCACACACTTGTCTTCTCAGCTGCCGTGAAATGGGCAGCTTCCCTTCAGCACACACTCTCCCATTGGGTGCTATCTCACACAGGCACTGAAGAAGTGGACTAGAATGGCCATGGAAAGGAAGCCAATGATATTGGAACCCCCACAAATCTTTCTTCTTTAGGTTAATTTTCTCAGATATCTCATTACAGCAATGGGAAGATGACTGACTTTTCTTGGGAAGACATAGCACTCACAGTGCACTCACCCCAGAAAGGAACCCAAACAAAGTAGTGTATCAAAGATTGGTGAACCAGTGAATTTTCTTGGGGCTAATAACAGGAATTTGAATGAAGGATTACTTGGGGGGCAAGGATGACTCAAAAGAGAAGCTATACCACTAAAAGCCCCCAACACCTTATGAAAATTGTTGGGGCTTTCTGCACAGCTTGTGCACAGCTCAACAGTTAAATAATCCCTCCTTTGAAGCTTGACTGCTCAGTTTCCTCCCACAATGTGGTTCACTTCTTTCATAAAGCTAGGGAAAGATCTTCCAGAATCTTCAAATTTGGGTTTTACCAGGCATGCAACCTTTGTTTACCTAGTGAGTCTCATAAGGTACCCACCCCACCCTTAGACTCCAAGACATAGAGGGAAGGTTTCAATCCATGAAACTGTCATGAATCCACATTCTATCCAGAAACTTGACTGCTATCACTGATTACAGAAGTTTTGGGCCAGGGTTTCTTCAATATATTATGGTTTTTTTCTGCAGATTTATTGCTGTGATTTATTATAGCTATTTTATATATGGTAAACTGGTATAATTTTAATTTAACTCACTACTTATACATATGGTTTATATGGAAAATTTTGATAACATTTACGAACAATCCTGGGGCGCTGTATCCTGAATGATTTTTTCTTTGTTTTTCTCCTTGATCAGAGGTCAATTGGTGGAATCCTTTAAAATGGTGTCACTTTGGTGACAGCATCCTTCTTTGCCTTTCTTGAACTTTTCCTCCTGGAACAAATGCAGCAAACACCGTAAACCAAAAGAAAATGGAAAAGGGCACAGAGAAGACGGATATATATCCCTGCATTCGTCACAGCAACCTCATCCTTTACCCATCAGCTTTGGGAAAAGCCACAGTTTTTCACAAAGATTGGAATAAATCTTGTGAATAAAAGACTGAAACCTCTGTAAACCAGCTCTGACTCCTACTTTTGTTATAATGGTGTTCTCAAATGGGTTCATGGGAAACACACCAAAATTTTAAAATCCTTCCCTTTTCCTTCCACGATTTTATTGATGACACCATTCTTCTCTGACATGAACATTTTATTCCTAGTAGAACCAATATTGTCTAAATTACACAGCAAACACAAGAGTCCATCCCTCAGATACATTGTCATGGGTGGCAGGTTCTTCAGTCTTATATATAATTTGTAAATTAGGTAGTGACTGTCACAATCCAAGTCTATGAAGACTATTAGTTTTAGAAAGCTTACAAGCATTCACTGGCCTAAGGGATGAAATGCCATTTATATTTATGTGTTATTGCGAAGTATCTTCCAGGATATGAGCTTCATAATGGGGCAAAGTAGACATAAGGTACATGAACTTGTCAGGATATGTGTTTCATAATGTGTCAGAGTAAAACAGAAGATATATGAACTTGTCATATTTATCGTTAAATCTTCTACTACCACCTGGTCAGACCTGGTTCTTATGATGTAGAGTTCCCAGGTACATACAAAATCCCTATATAGAGGGATGCACAAAAGGTTGCTATGCCAATAACCATATGTGGAAAAGCATAGCTGTCAGCTTACCAAGGAGAGACTGACCCTGAATTCCCATTCACCGTCCTCATCACAGACCTTCGACACACAAGTCCCCTACAGGGAAGGTAGAGGTGTTACTCACTCATTTTCCACATCTTGGATGGAGTCAGGCAGGGGCTGATTTTTGGTCTCAGGAAGGAGAAGAGCAATGAGGCCACCAATGATGGGGAAGACTCCATAGATGATCCAGGGCAAGGAATCAGAGTATATGGTGAGGATCATAAACAGAGGAGATACGGCTGCTCCAGCACTGCCAGCAATTCCCACAACTCCTAGACCGGTTGCCCTTGGAGCATAAAGTATAAATCAGAAGTAATCTAGCAAGTTCACACAGAATTTGTTACTTTACATCTCACATTAAGTCAATGAGCAGTGTAATTGACTTAAGGATGCTGGTAACTTATTCTTGACTTTCAAATTTCTGTTTCATTTGGTGTCATCTAAGTACTATGACACTTGCCTATCACAATAAAATGTGCTATGGAGGATAAATGCTACATGTTTTCTGTCATATGCATATGCTACACTTTGGTTTTCATTTGTGTATACATATGGGTGGGGGTCTGGGTATAGACTATGAAACTAGAAAATGATCATAAGAGAGGAGGAGAAGGTCTTAAGTAGAGAGAGGGATTTATAGTATATTTGTGACATGAAAGGAAAAGGGGGTACTGAGGAGTCGACTGGGAATTTGAGTGGGGATAGAAAGACAGGAGTTAGATGGATAAAAAGATAGTATTTGAAAATGTTCTATTGAAATACACATTTTATGTGCTGGCTTAAAGACATGCAACTAAAAAAAGACACGAGTATAGGAGGTAGGTCAGTGTGGAAGGAGTTAGCAAGGATGGCAGAGATAAGAGAAGGAAGATAATGGGGGAGTGAATGTCATCATACCTGCATGAAGTCATAAATAAATAAAAAGCACACAATGAAAGACCAATCCAAAATAAAACATTAAAAAAGTTGCATTTTTCTAAGTGGTTCCAAATTATACAGGTTAGTGGTTTAGATCTATCTGACAAAAATAAAATTGTGGCCATTCCTGTTATCATCACAATTAATTGCTTAATTACCCAGCAGTTTTTCTTTCTTCTTGTCCTTTCAGGAATAATGAATTAAACTGAGAAAAATCTGCTCTGACCCTGAATCATACCTGATTACGGTGGGGACTAGCTCATTTGCATGCACAAGAGTACTCGTTATACAGGCAGAAGAAATTGCTCCTCCCAGTGCTGCCAAAATTATACGCAGGGTCTGCATTTCTGGATAGAGGAAGACCAGTGACAGTCAAGTGAGACAGACAGATAATAAGTGTACAAATTTGCAGCTCCCCAGCCCCAAATGGATTGTAATTTTGTTGGAAGTTTGTATAGATCTAAAATATAGTGAGTGAGACTGCAGAGAGCTGTAAATTGTCAATGGTTACAAGCTGAGAAAGGTGACCTATCTTCATACACTGATTTACAATGAAGAAAAGCTTCTGAGATGACTGGATGCTGTATCTTTGATATTTGCTTGAGAAGTGGAGAGCATGGTAGATGCAGAAGGAGATCACAACCCCCTTCCTCTCTGTGGTCTCAGCAATCCTTCATGCAGAATGTAGGACTGCCATGGAGAAAATTATGGAGGACTGTCAACTTATTCAGATACACACGGTGTTTAAATCTATGGTGTATGTGCAATATTACAGAAGAGCGGAAGGACAGAGGTCTGCAGTGGTGTGCCAGCTGGGGACTGGTTTGATTTGAAATAGTGTCTGAGGACTCAAGTGTTCAATTCATACAGTCAATTTCCACTCCATTTAAAAAGTCTCATGAGGATTTGATTCCCAGTACCTACAAGGTATCTTACAACTGTCTGTATTTCAGGTTCCGATGGATCTGATGTCACTGGGCACCAGACACACATGTGGTGCACATACATGTGTGCAGGCAAAACTCATACACATAAAATAACTAAAGTTTTAAAATGACTCAGGAAAGCTTTACATTAAAGTGTTTCTTGAGGTAAGGAAGAAAACTGACATCACAGCTGACATTCAAGCATCACCACCATTGTTTGAGGATTTTATGGAATGCTAGAGTCCTGGGTTCACCAAAGATTGGTGATTACTTGGCTACTTCCTCCTGATATACACTCATTTAACTCAATAAAACTGATTTTAACAGTCCTGTGGCTTAGTCCATTCCTACTTCTTTCCCCTTCTTTTGAGGTTCAACACTAGTGATGTTTCTTTTCTTGAGACAACTCTCCAATCTAGGGTTGGATTCATGGTGATATAATGTGAGAATTATGAGTAGATAAAGTAATGAGAACCTGTAGGACAGAGGAAGTAATGGTGTGTTTTGGTCAGAATTATAAGGCTTTAACCTACGTAATTGCTATGAAAATTATAATTCACCAGTGACTGATTTATTGTTGACCTAAACACATTTGGGAATAAATGTAGCAGGCACTTCTTGCATGCAATAAAGACAAATATCTGAACTGAAATTTTGGCTGTTATCCAAATATCTTAATAGAACAATGTATTCTAAATTCTTGGACTACTTACAGCAAATCCATAGGGTACCCTTTCCCCCAGTTTCTTATAGGAAGGATCTGACAAATCTGGAGAATAGGATGGATGTTTTTCTGTGCTCATCCTGTGTTCTAATCTCACCTTGAGGCAAAAATACAGTGGAGAGGATGAAGATTCCCAACAGAGGCATGAAAATCAGCTGGGTTATTCTGCGTCCCATGTGGTTCATTGAGAAATTTCCAAGAGCATTAGCTGGAATGGATATCACACCGTAGAGACACTGCAGTAGGAACACGTTATTGCTCAGGTATTGGAAGTGGACAAGCAGGCCCAAAACAGGTATCAATGACACAAATCTGTGGGGAACATAGAGAATGTCACATTATAAGGTTTGGAGTGGTTGCTCAACACATGGCAACATAGTCATCTCAGGCAGCTCATTTTACTTGTTAAAATATTGAGGCATCTGTTTTCCAGAAAATTTACATGTGGGAAATAACTTTGTAATCACAAAAACATTCTACAATGAAGGAAACTTATCAACAATGTTAAATTTTGTTTTTAAGGGGTTAGGGAATTCTTGGGATACAAACTGGGTCCATCCAGGCTTTTAGAGTTTTTCTTATATCTTGATCTGAATGAAAGTTCTAACTTCATATCTGCATATACCTACTGGTATGTATACAGTTTTATAGTTGATGTTTGAAGTTTTATGACCTTTGAAATGGAAATAGACAAACGGTGAAGCTTAGATCCCAAGTTTTTCTATGACTGCAGTTCTAAGCAGCAGTTTCTGGTAATTAACTTGTCAGAATGATTGGATAAACAGTCTGTGATAGTATAATCGAAATCCTTTGGATTCCTCCAGCTATAGAAATTTCTCATCATTTATCTTCAAGTCTGTTAGTAAAAAATTAATGTCTACACTGTTTTTTGAGACAGGGTTTCAAAATGTAGCCTTGAACTCTGTATGTAGACCAGGCTGGCTTCAGACTCACAGAGCTCTGCCTCCATCTGCTTCCTGAGTATGGGACTAAAAGCAGGAGTCACCACCACACCATTTTCAGAGTTATCTGTGCGAAGCCCACCTCACAAAGCACAGGACGCAGATCCGCTTACGCAGGTTGGGTGAGCGGAACAAGTCCAGTAGGGAGTGTTCTGTCTGTGCTGCTCCCAGCTCCTCCTCCATGGCGTTCCTCACAACCTTCAACAACATCAATAAACTGTTGTCACAAAATGATGAACATTGTGAGAAGGTTAGATCGACAATTATTGTTTCTGTGTAGTGAACAATATATAGACATCAATGAAATAATGGCAGGCATAGACGTGGTTAGAAATGTGAGCCCAAGAGTGAAAGGAAGCTCATGCATTTCTGTTGTGAGAATTCGGTCCTATAAGCCAATGGTATTGGGGACGCTTGTCCCAATGGGAGTGGTCTTCTCTGGAGGTATATGACCCAATAAAATTAAGAGAGAAGAGGATCATGGAATCATGTGGTCTTGGGTGTAGTTGAGCTGGCAGCAAGCCATTTGGGGAAGGGGTTATTGCACAGTAAGGGAGAGCTGGTTCCCCAGCCGGAGGGCAGAGAGGCTGGTGATACAACCCAGATTCTTCCTTCTGTCTTGTAATCATTGTGCATGGATTTAACATTAATAAAAGGTAAAACAATCTCCAGGATTCTCGAATTACATTTCTACAGTGAGGATATGTTAAACAGGAGACTACAGTTGGGTGTAGATTATTGAAAGGTAGTTATAGGTTGCAGATACAGATTAGGAAGGAAAACAAGTGAAGAGTTATTTAGAATACAGTCCTGCATTCCACATACAGTAGATGAGTTTGCATGACATGGCATCTAAGCCTGATGCTCCACTGATAACTTAAAATTTTTTTTGAAATAAAAATACAATTACATAATTTCATCCTTTCTTTTCTTCCCTCCATCCCATCCTATGCAACCCACCCTGCTCTCTCTCAAATATATGGCTTCTAATTCTTTAATTACTGATACACACACACACACACACACATAAATAAATGAATATGATCTGCTCAGTCTGTATAATGTTATTTATGTATATATGATTCCAGGGACGATCACTTGGCATTAGAAAAAAATCTCAGTTTGGGCCTCTTCCCTAGGGAACTCTCTTGCTTCCATCATTCCCTTAGTTGCTACAATTCTTTCTTTGTAGTTGCGCCTCCATGGAATTTCCACTTTCCATTGACCGGAAGGTTGTAAGAGCAAGAGGAACATAAAATTTGCTGAGAGATTTTTGTTCTCTAGATGTGTCGAGAAACTACATTCATGAAGTCTTTTTTTTTTTTTTTTTGGTTTTTCAAGACAGGGTTTCTCTGTGGCTTTGGAGGCTGTCCTGGAACTCACTTTGTAGACCAGGCTGGTCTCGAACTCACAGAGATCCGCCTGCCTCTGCCTTCCGAGTGCTGGGATTAAAGGCATGCGCCACCAACGCCCGGCTCATTCATGAAGTCTTATCAATGTGGTTGCTTTAACAAAATATGAACAGGGGTGACACAAATATACATGCTAATTCAGAAGGGAGAAAGCCATTGATTTTTAATGATTGAAAAAATAGTCTTAAGTTGGGCATAAGACTAATAAACTCCTAGTCATGTTAATGAAAAGAAAGAGTTAAAGTCTGCATTAATAAAGTTAGACATAAAAAGACACTAAACAAATGCTACTAAAACAGAAAACCATAAAGACACAACACAAAACCAATATATCACCTAATTATAGAATCTTAAAATTGATGAAATTATAGATGCATATTGCTTAACAAAATTAAAGCAAGATAAAATGAATAATTAAAAAAAAGATACATAAACTGCCAAGATTCAATGGATTCACTGTAGAATTCCCAATATTCAAAGAAAACCTGAGACCAACATAGTTCAAATTATTCCACAAAATAGAAAAAAAGGCTTACCACCTTTTTTTTAAAGAAGCCAATATAACTCTGATGCCAAAACTGTTTCAACAAAACAAAAAGTTTTAATTCTGGCCAATAAAATAAAAAAATCATGATCAAGTTGGCTTCAGAGATTCAGTTTCAACATAGGTAAACTAATAAATGTAATCAATGGAGTCAAGACATAAATCACATAACTATCTTAATAGATGCAAAAAAATATTGAACAAAATCCACTATCCTTTCAGAATTGAAATCATGGAAAGGCTAGGAATAGATGGACTAAACAGCAACAGAGTAAAGGCTACATGTTACAACCCTGTAGATGACTCTGTTGGTTTCTTTTCTGTCATTATGATAAATACCCTGACAACTCAAGAGAGAAAGATTTACTTTGGATTACAGTCTCAGAGGGTCAGAGACCTTCATGGTAAGTAACACGTGGTATAAATTAGGGAAGGCGTGGAGGCATGAGCAGGAAACTGGGTGAGCATACTGCACATGAACACAGGAAGCAAAGACAGAGCAGCAAGTGGGACCAATCTGTAAGTCTCAGAGCCCACCAGCAGTGGATTACTTCCTTCAGTAAAGCCCACCTAAATGTTCATAACCTTCATGAATATTGACACCAGCTGGGGATCAAGTATTCAGACACATGAACCGGTACAGGACATTTTGTTTTCCTACAGATGAGGCTTTCCTAGTCATTTTTAAAATTTGTTTGTACAAATTACATACACTTTTTTATAAGTATGTTTTTATTTAAATTAGAAACATGCATGCGAGCCGGGCGGTGGTGGCGCACGCCTTTAATCCCAGCACTCGGGAGGCAGAGGCAGGCGGATCTCTGTGAGTTCGAGGCCGGGCTGGACCGATAGCCTCCAAAACAATACTGAGAAACTCTGTCTCGTAAAAACCAAAAAAAAAAAAAAAAAAAAAAAAAGAAACATGCATGCTTCAAATGTCAATCCTAGCTCACCCCTTCTCCTTCCACCAGCCCCACCCACACGTCCCATCCCCAGCCCAATCCCCACATCCTTCCCCAGAGAGGGTGAGGCCCTCCTTGGGGGGAACTCCAGAGTCTGTCATTTCATCCAGGGCAGGACCTAGGCCCTTCCCCATGTGTTCAGGCTGAGAGAGCATCTCTCCATATAGAATGGGTTCCCAAAGTTCATTTGTATGCCATGGTGAACACTAGTCTACTATCCAAGGCCCCAGAGATTTCTGAGGCCTCCTCACTGACACTACATTCATAGAGTCTGGATCAGTCCCCTGCTGGCCTCATCAGTCTGGGGTTCAAGAGCTCCCCCTTGTCCAGTCAGCTGTCTTTGTGGGTTTCACCAGGACAGTCTTGACTGCCTTGCTCATCACTCCAGGTCTTACTGGTGTAGAATCTCTAGACTCTGGTGGTGTCATATTTGTTTTTCTGTTGCTGTGTGTTCTCATATTGCCTTTTCCCCATCCCCTCTTCCAGTGGGTGTAGAAAGAGTTTCTTCCTCTCCTGGTGGGTAGGCGACCAGGGTTCCCTTTCAGTGGGTGCAAGTAAATCCAATACTGTCTGGCCTCTGCCCTGGGTTTGGGTAGAGCAGCTCTCTCTGCAGGCTCCTGGTGGCTTGGTCATCTGACCAGGGGTGGGGGTGGGGAGAGTCGACCTGGCTGCAGTCCCCAAGCCAGGGGATCCAACAGAGGTCGAGGGCGGAAATTGGGTCTAAGATGGGGACCAGGTGCTCACCTCTGCCCTCTGCCCTAGGTTTGGGCAGAAGTGGACCAGCTCTCTCTGCACGCTTCTGGTTGCTTGGTTGGCTGTCCAGGAGTGGGGATAGGGGAAGTCGACTTGGCTGCAGTCCCCAAGCCAGGGAATTCAAGAGAGGGTGAGCTTGCTCACCTCTGCACCACAACATGCCCTTTGCCTCCACAAGCTTATGACCAGGACATGTTGCAAAATGCATTTACTACAACTTCAAAAATCCTCATAGTCCTTAACAGTCCCAACATTGTTCAACAGTTTAAAGTTTCTTCTGGGACTTAAGGTAATCTTTTACCTGTAACCACCTGCTGAAACAAAGCCATTACATACCAGCATAATAGCACACATTATACATTTCCATTCCAAAAGATAAGAATGGGATCATAGTGAGGAAATAACTGACCAAAACAGGACCAAACCCAGCATGAAAACATCAAGTCCTATAGCTCCATGTCCCATATCTGGGACTTAAGTTTTAAAGGGGTAGATGGTGCCATATCTCCAGCTACATATTCTTTGTCACACAACGTCTATCTTAAGTTAGTTCCATTTAGGGCATGTGGCTTTTGTTGGCACTCATCCCACAGTTCAGATACAATATCTTTGCATTTCCATCTCAATTTAGTTTCACCTTCACAAATTCATGCAATGGTCTGTCAAAGTCACATTGCAGTGACTCCAACTCTGCTACTTAATTGTCTGGCTTCCTCTAATACCTACAACTGTGTAACAAAACTCCATGAACTACTCTATCTTGCATTTTTAATATCTGCAAAGCTAACACTATGTGGATCATGCTGCCAAGTATTGTTACCAGTTAAGGATGAATCCTAGTCTTCTTGGAACACATTTGTTTCTGCATCCTTAGGTTCATCCCAGGGAAATAGTTTACTAGGCAATTGCTTTTGAGGAAGAGGGAATCCTATCAACTGTGTCATCAGCTCGCACCTTGTATTTTTAAATAAGTTTGAGTTTCACAAGTGGGAGTCTATGATATGTAGGGTCTTGCTCCCAGGGTACGTTTTCCACTGTTTCAGATACAACAAGATGTTACTTAACAATTTCAGCTTCTTTTTCACAACATGCATAGGTTGTAAAGTTTAAGTTTCTTGATTTCTTTGCTTCTTGGCAAACTGCTCATTTTTTCTTTTCTTTTTTTCCACTGCAGACCTATGTAATACAGTAAAGACTAGCCATTCAATAGTCTGGAATTGTCTCCTGTTTTAAAATTTTCTCCATCAAACATATTCATTCAGTATCTTTAAGTTTCACTTAACGCAAATTCTCAGGATATGGGCATTGGTAAATTAATCACACGCATGGCATTGATCCTCTTTCTGGATATAGTCATTGTTCATGTCTGAAACCCATTAGTCTGACTGCACTGTTCATGTCTTTCAGCATTCTTGTTTTCTCAAGTCCAACCAGAATGGCCTGTTGATCTCCTCGTATCATTTTCTGTATCACTTACTTTCCTGTTGCTGTGACAAGACACTCTGACAAAACAAGGGTAAAAGATAAGGGTTTATCCTGGCTCATAGTTTGAGGGTCTGATCTTTTATGACAGGAAGTTGCCAGGCATCTGATCATACTGTATCTGCACTCGAGAAGCAGGGAGTAATGCACGCTCAGGCTCAGCTAGGTTTCTTTATGTAACTAGGGGCCCAAGCCCTAGGAAATGTTGCTGCCAGTTTTTGTAAGTTCTTTTACTTCAGTTAAACTAATCAAGATAATCCCAAGATCAATTATTTCAAGAGGTTAACCTAATCAAAACTGTCAAACACGGGTATGTTTGGGAACTTATCTTCTAGGACATTCTAGATATTTTCAAGCTTATAATTAATACTAACTATCAAACAATTTCATTTAAATTTCCTGACAGAACTAATGCTAAGGACCTTCTACTAAGTATACTGTCTGTTTTGGTTGCAGGATGTAGAGAAATAAAGCTAGAACTGATTTGGAAACTTCCTCCCTGCTGGCTAGCTTTCACAGTGTTAGAAGGCACTATGTATGTTGCTCTGGAGAGCTGTCATAATTTTACTCAGCTGTGGACATTTGTGCTGCTTGACTGATCCTTGCTTGGCAAGTTATACTCGAGGTGTGTCAGTGATATCACTGTTATGGTGGTAACCAGCATTTGAGGTATGCTTACAGGAGGGAATTTACATTGGTGCTTTAAACCCCATCAAAACCCCATTATTATAGATGTCACAGTACTTGGGGGGAACCTACTATAGTTATTTTGCTAGATAGAGATATTTTTGTTAATTTCTATAGATTAATGCTTTGGTTAGAGAAGCTTCTTTTTCTGTAGTTGGTGGCAGTTACTGTAGGGTTGCAACTGATCAATGTGCTGGGAATAAGCTACTTGCCCATAAATGGGATATCTATATACCTCTTTCAAAGTTCAAGGAACATTATGAAAGTGGGGAAAGAGAGAAGGTAAATGGCAGTGGAAAGGATGATGCATAGTCTTGTCTTCTTGTCTTGACATGGTTAGTGAGTTTTAAACTGCAAAGGGTTGGGCCCATCAACTCCCATGATGGGGAGTAGAGGAATTCATGAAGCCCTGCTGTAGTGATATGTTATTTATGATTTATTAATCACTGAGGATTCAGAAAAACAGAGTCAGCCTCAAGATATAGCGATCAGGCAGTGGTGATATACACCTTTAATCCCAGCAGCCAGAAGTTAGGAGGTGGTGGTACACACCTTTAACCCTAGGACTCATGATTAAGAGGTAGACAGATCTCTGTGAGTGCAAGGCCACCTAGGGGTACATGAGATTGAATCATTCTAACAGAGTAACAGATCACACTCCTTTAATTCCAGAACTAGAGGGGGATAAAAGATAGAAGCAGGGACTTCAGTAGTCAGTAGGTGGTATTCATTCAGTTTCTAGCCATGTTGAGGAAGGAGTATAGTCTGAGGCTTGGTGAGAGCTCATGGAGACAGGATCAGCCAATTCAGCCTGAGGTAGAGGTACAAAGCCAGTGGCTGGCTGCTTTGCTTTTCTGAACTTCAGTTTAAAGTTTGAACCCCAATATCAGTCTCTGGACCTTTTATTTATTTGTGTTACACCCTGCCTCTCTTTGAGGATTTATAGGTAGTTAGCTATTGTTAATTAGGAAAGGCTCATAAATCCCAACTGGGGATGCATAGGAAGTTCAGCAGTTAATGGTTGCTGGGAGAAGAAAAGTCATTTTCTTAAGTGGTGTAGCCGTGTGTTGTTGCTCAAGCTATTGTAATTAAATCTTCACAGTTCACAATGTTTCTGTAAGAAACTTGAATTAAATTATTTGTTTAGAAAGAGAGAGGGAGACACACAGAGAGATATTAAAGTAGAAGCAGGCTGGGCGTTGGTGGCACACGCCTATAATCCCAGCACTCGGGAGGCAGAGGCAGGCGGATCTCTGTGAGTTTGAGGCCAGCCTGGTCTACAAAGCAAGTTCCAAGACAGACTCCAAAACAATACAGAGAAACTCTGCTTCAAAAACAAAACAAAAAGTAGAAGCGGGACTAATTGGGAAGAGGAAGGAATCAGCAGAATTGTGAAGGTATGAAAATGGAGTTGGCATGATGAAAGATGATAAACATACACTATGTACATGTATGAAACTGTCAAAATGAAAACTAACACAACATATAACCAATATATTCCAAAAAAGTAAACAAAAATTAAATGAAATACCATGAAGAAGGTCCTAAAAATTGACCAAAAGCAACTTGGAAAGGAAAGGGTTTATTTCATCCTGTAGCTTACAGTATGCCATGGAGGGAAGACAGTAGGACTCCAGGCAGGAACTTGGAAAAGAAAAGGTCATGAGGAAAGCTGCTTACTGGCTGTCTCTCTTTGGTTCTCTCAGCTTCCTTTCTTATATAGCACAGAACTGCCTATTCAGGGTGACACCCCCACAGACGGCTACATCCTCCCCCATCAATCACTGGTCAAGGAAAGGCCTTACAGACGTGCCTAAAGGCCAATCTGATAGAGGCATTTTCTCACTTCAGAGTTCCTCTTCCCAGATGACCTTAGCTTGTATTGACAAAAAAGTAATCAGCACAGAATTCAAGAAACAAAATGAAACAGATGTGATTTAATTTTTTTTTGATTTTTCAAGACAGAGTTACTCTGCATAATCCTGGTCATCCTGTAACTCTCTGTAATTCAGGGTGGCCTCAAACTCAGAGATTCTCCTGCCTCTGCTTCCCCAGTGCTGGGATGAAAGGCATGTGCCACTGCCACTGTGATTTTAATTATTTTTGAATGAAACATCCTTATGAAGTGTTTTTAGTGACCACACATTGCATCTCAGTCACTAACATGAGTACATGTCAAACTTGTGTTTTCTTGTGTCATAACAAGCTCCCATTGTGCTTACCTCCATGGTTAGGACATCTCTAGAATTCTTCATTCCATTCCTGCATGCAGCCTTTTGAAGCTCCTTTAAGCCCTTCTGGGGTTTGTTGGTCATAATCAGCCACCGAGCTGATTCTGACAGCCACCTGCTCAAGATGTTGAAAGTGAGACAATTCTCAAGCAGTCATTTCAAAACCACATTTATCTTTGAACAATTATATTCTTTAATTTAATGCCTACTACTCATTCAGTTATATTAATAAATAAAATCTTACACTGTCTAGACCTACACTACAAAAATGGGAAATGACTCATGTATACATTATATTTGTACTTCCAGAATGCAGACATGGAGTTATGTTGGTCTGCTCACTCTTACCCAAATATGTATTTACATGGAGTTCACAGAACTGCAACATGAAGGCTACTTGTATACAGATATTTTCCAAATTCCTTGCTAAGGTGAACATTTATTCTTACTTTGTTCTTTTCCTAAAATCTAACCACTGGATAACTTTTGTACACTAATTCTATCATTCAAAGTGTAACCATTTCTACTCATAGCAACCATTGCTTTCTGGCCACACAAACAAGTCAACCCTACCTTCATTTCTAATCTATAAACCGGGAACAGCAGCATCATAATTTTTTCTGTTTTCTTTTGAGACAGGGTTCTCTGTGTAGCCTTGACTGTCCTGGAACTCAATTTGTAGACCAGGTTGGCCTCAAACTTGAAGAGATCCTCCTGCCTCTGCCTCCCAAGTGCTTGGGTTAAAGACGTGAGCCACCACCGGCCAGGTGTAGCAGCATCACACTTTTCATGGATGTGCTGTGAGGAAGAGACGATATGGAGGAGCCTGCTACAGGGTTCTCCCTCTTTTCTGTGTGGATTCATCTCACTATGTTACTCTATAAACATTTAATGGTCTTTCCTGGCCAAACATGCCTCCTTTGTTGATAGCATCATAACACTTCTTAATTCTTTTTTTTAAACGAAAAGCAAGTGAATCCAAAGAGCCAGTGAGAGAAGTAGACCATTCTGCCTACAGCTTTAATTAGAGAGGCCATGATTTTCTTTCATTGAACAGTTGTGAAGATAAACTTATTTTATATGCTTCTTACTAATATCAAAGTTACCATAATTTTCAAAGCATATTTTTTGTTTGAAAAATCACTCATAGAGATACAAACCACAACAGAGACAATATGATCTTGAAATGTTTATTCTATTACTTCCTGGATAATTTAGACTTAGTAGCAGAGACAGGCAGAAATGCCATGAACATTCTGGTAAGGATTCATTACTAATTTCTGCTTTTGGGTGTTTTTTTTCTCTAGTATATAAAATAAATTCGTGCATGGTAAAATTTGAACATCACTTAGTATACTTTTTTTAACTATAAATATACCACATCCATTACTTTGGATATGCTTACACTGAAAAGTACTTATTACTTTTAAGTAATATGAATACACTGAAATGTTATGTATTCTACCCAGCTATTAAACAAAAATACAGAACTAACAGGTAAACAGAATCTTCAAATAAAGAATGAGTTCTTGGCAGAAAACAAGGATCTTTCACTATACATATGTATGGTTATGATTTTATGAAACTACGTATTGCTTATCTTGAATTCAGCCTCTGCAGTTTTATCTGACAGAGCTGCTTGTCCTCATGTCACATAAGTGCAAAGAGGAGTGCACGCTGCTGCCTTGTGTAGACCAAGCACAAATACATTTCTTATGTCCTGAGTCCATGTACATGCTCATCCCTGGATTCCACAACAGAAGGGGAAGGAAATCTCCTACCTTGTGGGAATAAGGAAGAAGAACATTGGTACAGACATTGCCAACTGGAGGTGGTGCCAGTGTCGAATAACGAAAGCCAGGCCTCCCAATATTACCTGCCCAATGCCCCCAGAAGCAAATGCCAGTGCCATTACCAAAGCTTGGAATTTAGGGCTTGTCCATTCTAATACTGAAAGAAAAGAAAATGAAGCTTAACTTTTAAGAAAGCTGGAAAGGACATCCAGGTCAAGCCCAATGCTTGGACAATGTCCATCAAAAGCTTTGACTTACTGAGCAAAACACTGTTTGTCCTCATGGATGAGGAAGAAATCCCTGCCAGGAAGCGAAATGAGCAGTAGATGAGGAAGGTGGGAGCAAAAGCTGCACAGGTTTCGGTGATGGCCATCTGCAGTAAAGCACCTGTGAAAACAAGCTTCCTCCCAAACCTGGGGAGAAGGAAGGCTCTGGTTATGGGAACAATAAGAGTTTGCATAAACAAGAAGACAGGAAGTACTTTGAAATAATAAATAATCAAGAAATTAAACAGGGCAGACATCCTCTACAATGAAAAGCTTCTTTCTGCCCTGTTTCTTTTTTAGATGGAGTCTTATTATGTAGTCCTTGCCAGCCTGGAATTTACTGTGACTCCAAGGCTAGCTTCAAATTATGAGAGATCTGTCTGCTTCTGCCTTCCAAGTGCCGGGATTTAATGTGTGCACCTCCACATCTGCTCTTTTCAATTTCTTTTCTTTTTTTCCCCTCTTTTGGCTTTTCAATACAGGGTTTCTCTGTGTAGCTCTGGCTGTCCTGGAACTCACTCTGTAGACCAGGATGGCCTTGAACTCACAGAGATTTACCTGCCTCTGCTTCCCAATTGCTAGGGTTAAAGGTGTGCACCACCACTGCCTGGGTCTTCTCGATCTCTTACCATTAGTTTTATATGAGTTAAGCCATTTATGACAGTCTACAAGCCTGGAATTTTAACACAAGTACGTCATACTAAATTATGCATGTAACATACCTATTTTATTAATCTTGGTAACAAGATATCCGATGGAAGCTACTTAAGGGAAAGATTTATTTGGGTTCACAGCTTCTGAGGGGTCAGTCATCATGAGAATCTATGGAGAATCTATGGTGTCAGGAACAGATGACAGAGTCCTTCCCTTGAAGTCTAAATCAATTAGAATTCACACGGAAACCAAAGTGGGTATCTCCTTCAACATCAACCACAGCAACCCAATTATGCCAACCAAGTCCTACACTCCAAAGTCTCATAACTTTCCAAAGACTGTCCTTCAGCTAGGGAACAAAGTATTCAGATACACACACACCTATGGTTCAAAAGATTTTATTTCTAAAGAGAAAATATGAAATGAGAATCAATCATTTTTATACAAGTGCTTATATACAATCTTTTGATTATTGATTCTACAGAATTTCTATAAAAGAAGATCTTTGCATTCAGTGTCTTAGATTTTACCTTATTGGATTTATATATTGATATATCAAACATAACATATTTTTCAAAAAGTCTGTTCCTTTCCCACTCTCCTCCTTCTTATACCCCCATAATGGATATTTTTGGCCAGCTTGCTGATGTCCCATAAGTTCACTGAATGCTAGTAACTTGTAAATCTATCTTTTGGCTTCATAATCTTGACAGTTTTACTGTTTTGTTTCTCTTCTCTAATTCATTATTGTATTAGTGTCATCTTCTACTAAATGTCTCTAGTGAAAATTTTGATTTCTTGTATTTTTAAAATCCAGATTTCTATCTTGTTCTTTTATGTACTTTCTGTTGCTGATGTTGCTACACACTAATTTGTCATTAATACTTTGTCCATGCTCTCTTTCATCCTTTTGTATACATCTAAGATATGACTTCTAGAATGTTTATCTAGTAAATCTCCCACAGAGCCATTTCTAGGATGTTTCATTTTGAATAGGCTAAACTTCTTTTTCATTTCATATTTATTACTTTATTATTCTTGTAAAATTCATATTTGATTGTTGTAATGTGGAATTTGGAATTCAGATTCTCATTTTTACAAAGAATGTTCTTTCTTTATTTTATTTTTGAAGGATAGCTGTCTGTAACTTTTATGACTTTACCAAACTGTTGCAAAGACAGTTCCTTTGTCTTGTGTTGTCTGTCACTGAAGTTTTAGATTTCTGTATAGCCTACCATCTAAAGTTTTTAATGCATATTTCTTGGAATGCCAGGATAGCTTCCATTTTTGGTGGTAGACTGGCATTTGGCAGGATACTCCTTGAAGATGAAACTTATATTTCTCTAATATTAGAACTATTTGATATATAAGCTTAAGATCTCCATGCTGTTTAAGGACATGTGTCACCACTAGTTATACAATGCTGTTCTATTTTCACACACATGTCTGCTGGATTAATTAAAATAAAATGATAGAGTAAATGCAACCATATTGGAAAAATACCCAATGTGAAAAGGCTAAAAACCTCAATAAAAAAATAGAGATAATGAGAATGAGTTAAAGATAAAGATCTAGATGTGAACTAGTTCATTGAATAGATGAAATAATATTGTCAATTAACATATTCTATGCAAGAAAGAGATGGTTTAAGAGGCTATATTCATATTGGACAGAAATACATTCTAGAAGAACTATTTATCTGAGTGCAGTGGTATCCGCCTGTAATTCCATAACTTGGTAAACTGAGGTACCAGGATTATGGTTTGAATGCTACTCTATCACTCAAAGAATTTGAGGACAGTGTAGATTACATAGTAAGACATTATTAGGAGTTTTGTTTGCAGAAGTCTTGTTTCTTATGCTGCCAATGTACAGGAATTCACAGCAGTCCAGGCAGAACAATCAGTCATAGTTTATTCTTAATCAGGAGAGTGAGCAAGAGCACAAAGCCTACTCCAGAGTGGACAACCAAATGAGCTAAGTGACAACAAAGCTTTCCTCTAATATCTGATTTTGTACATCTGTGTTTATTAGATGTATTCCCCTTGTCACTTTCTAGCTGTTTATGAAGGTAGAAGTGCCCATAGAGTTGAGAAATTTACTAGGGCAAAGTTGCTTTGGGCATGCCCCTCGGAGGGGGTCTCTGTGGGTGCCAGCTTCATTTTCACAGTCTAATGGCCTTCCCTTTGTCTATGTGGTTTTCTATCTCATGGCCAACTGCTTGCCTTTTCATTTATCTTGCCCTGCATTCCCAAACCTTAACATCTGTTTCAACCCTTATTTTGGAATATTAATTTAAGTATGACATTTGTTTATGTTGTGGAATATTTGTTCAATATGCAAAGATGTGGTGCATTCTTTTATGTTGCATTTGTTTAACTCTGTGAAGCTGTGTTACTTTGCCTGCCTAAAACACAGCTCCAGATGCCCAGATCTCAGTGCAGAAGCACAAATATGGTTTAATAAAGATCTGAGTGGCCAATAGCTTTGCAGGAGAGGGATAGGTGGGGCTTCCAGGCAGAGAGAAGAAAAAGAAGGAAAGAATGAGAAGAAGGAGGAGCAAAAGGGGAAGGAGAGAAGATGCCAGGGGCCAGTCATCTAGCCACACAGCCAGACACAGAATAAAAAGAAAAGAAAAGATGAGCAGAAATAGAGAAAGGTAAAAGCCCAGTGGCAAAAGGTAGGTGGGATAAGTTAAGTTAAGAAAAGCTGGCTAGAAATAAGTCAAGCCAAGCCTAGGCATTAATAAAAAATAATAAGTCTCTGTGTGATCATTTGGGAGTTGGGTGGCAGGCCCCTCAAAGAGCAAAGAGTAAAAATGAAAACCACCAACATACCATAATAATCCTGAAGCTTGGCAACTTGAGGGAATACATGTAGAACCAATATATGCTACATAGTGCTAAATAATGAGACACTGTGTTTTAAAAAGGGAATAATAAATTTACAAACCAAGTAATTAATACTTGGAGGGTCATGTAGACACTTGCTTGGAAGAAATGGGTTTCTATTTAAAAGAGTCCAAATTATTTTTTATAACATTTTAAAATTTAAATTAGAAACAAGCTTGTTTTACATGTCAATTCCATTTCTTCTCCCTTCCCTCTTTCCCTGCCCCTCACCGACCCCCTCACCAGGGAGGGTGAGGCCTTCCATGGGTCCTTCCATGGGGGATCTTCAAAGTCTATCATATCATTTGGAGCAAGGCAACCTTGTGTCTAGGTTGAGAGCTCCCAAAGTCCATTCCCGTACTAGGGATAAATACTGATCCACTACCAGAGGACCCATAGATTTCCTAGACCTCCAAACTGACATCCACTTTCAGGGGGTCTGAAACAGTCCTATGCTGGTTTCCCAGCTATCAATCTGGGGTCCATAAGCTCTCCTTGTTCAGGTCATCTGTTTCTATGGGTCTCTCCAGCCTGGTCTTGACCCCTTTACTCATCACTCTTCCCTCTCTGCAACTGGATTCCAGGAGTTCAGCTCAGTGTTTAGCTGTGGGTGTCTGCCTCTGCTTCCACTGGATGAAGGCTCTAGGAGGGCATACAAGGTAGTCATCAATCTCATTATCAGGGAAGGGCATTTAAGGTAGCCTTTCTACTATTGGTTAGATTGGTAGTTGTAGATCTCTGGACATTTCCCTAGTGCCAGATTTCTCTTTAAACCTATAATGGCTCTCTCTATTATGATACCTCTATTCTTACTCTCTATTCTTCCCCTGACTCAGTCTTGCTAATTTGTTAGATATTAGGATTTCTACACCCACTTGTTTCTTGGATCCATTTGATTGGAAAATCTTATCCCAACCCTTTACTCTGAGATGTTGTCTGTCTTTGAAGTTGAGGTGTGTTTCTTATATGCAGTAGAAGAATGGATTCTGTCTTCGTATCCCTTCTGTTAGCCTGTGTCTTTTTATAGGCTAGTGATTGATATACTTTGTTGGGTATAGTAGTCTGGGATGGGATCCATGGTCTCTTAGTGTTGGTAGAACATCTATCCAGGACCTTCTGGCTTTCAGAGTTTCCATGGAGAAGTCAGGTGTAGTTCTGATAGGTTTGCCTTTATATGTTATTTGACATTTTTACTTAGCTGCTCTAAGTATTCTTTCTTTATTTTGTATGCTTGGGATCTTGATTATTATGTGGCAAGGGGACTTTTTTGTGATCCACCCTATTTGGTATTCTGTAAGCTTCTTGTACCTTCATTGGCATGTGTTTCTTTAGGTTGGGAAAGTTTTCTTCTATGATTTTGTTGAATATGTTTTCTGTCCCTTTGAGTTGGGTTTCTTCACCTTCTATTATTCTTAGGTTTGGTCTTTTCATGGTGTCCCATATTTCCTGGATGTTTTGTGTTAAGGATTTGTTGGACTTAAGATTTTCTTTGGTTGACGAATCTATTTCTCCTAGCATATTTTAAACGTTTGAGATTCTCTCTTCCATCTCTTGTATTCTGTTGGTTATGCTTGCATTTGTAGTTTCTGATTGTTTAACCTA